AAAGCTCATCTCAGGGAGCCTCTATGGGATAACATCAAATCTTTTTCTAATGGAGTTAGCTCTCCATGGATGGTGATTGGGGATTTTAACGCTATTACTGATCCTCAGGAGAAAAAAAGGGGGAAACAATGTAGATTCCGAATTTGAAGGGGAAGATTCAGAAATTAGCTGAAAATGATCAAGTTGTTAGTGATTCTGAGAATGACTTTGAAAGNAGTTGAAGATCAGTCTGAAAGTGAGAAAAGTCTTGATGCTCAATCTGCTACCAGTGATGATCATGCTAAAAGATTGCTAGAAGCTTTCTCACATCAATCACCACCACCAGATGAAATTATTCAAGCCTTTGGAGATGTTACTGACAGACACCACCTCTCACCCAGGGGGCATGAGGTAACCAGAGGTGGACTCTCATTAACCAGAGGTGGACTCACCTTTAGGGAGGGCAGAGGTAATAGAAGAGGCAAAGGCATTCCTCCTATGAAATTTTCACAAGACAATGATGATCAATCTACATGTTTTTAATGATTAAGTCTCTTATTTGGAATATTAGAGGCATCACTTCACAAGGTGCCTTTGACAGACTTATGCAACCCAAAAGAACTCACAACCTTTTATTCATTGCTCTCATGGAACCTTTCTGCGGAAGGAAAAAGTTAGAGAAATTTAGAAGAGGACTTGGGTTTGATTTTGCATATGCTAATTGCAACAATAGAATCTGGTTCTTTGGTGATAGCTCTATCAACTGTATTGTTATTGAAGACCTTCCTCAACTTATCAATTGCTCAATTGATAATAATGGGGAGACTTTATACATAACTTTAGTGTATGCTAAATGCAAAGCTCATCTCAGGGAGCCTCTATGGGATAACATCAAATCTTTTTCTAATGGAGTTAGCTCTCCATGGATGGTGATTGGGGATTTTAACGCTATTACTGATCCTCAGGAGAAGAAAGGGGGAAAACAATGTAGATTCCGAATTTGAAGGGGAAGATTCAGAAATTGCTGGAAATGATCAAGTTGTTAGTGATTCTGAGAATGACTGTGAAAGCGTTGAAGATCAGTCTGAAAGTGAGAAAAGTCTTGATGCTCAATCTGCTACCAGTGATGATCATGCTAACAGATTGCTAGAAGCTTTCTCACATCAATCACCACCACTAGATGAAATTGTTCAAGTTTTTGGAGATGTTACTGACAGACACCACCTCTCACCCAGGGGGCATGAGGTAACCAGAGGTAGACTCTCATTAACCAGAGGTGGACTCACCTTTAGGGAGGGCAGAGGTAATAGAAGAGGCAAAGGCATTCCTCCTGTGAAATTTTCACAGGACAATGATGATAAATCTACATCTTTTTAATGATTAAGTCTCTTATTTAGAATATTAGAGGCATCACTTCACAAGGTGCCTTTGACAGACTTAAGCAACTCACAAGAACTCACAACCTTTTATTCATTGCTCTCATGGAACCTTTCTGCGGAAGGAAAAAGTTAGAGAAATTTAGAAGAGGACTTGGGTTTGATTTTGCATATGCTAATTGCAACAATAAAATCTGGTTCTTTGGTGATAGCTCTATCAATTGTATTGTTATTGAAGACCTTCCTCAACTTATCAATTGCTCAATTGATAATAATGGGGAGACTTTATACATGACTTTAGTGTATGCTAAATGCAAAGCTCATCTCAGGGAGCCTCTATGGGATAGCATCAAATCTTTTTCTAATGGAGTTAGCTCTCCATGGATGGTGATTGGGGATTTTAACGCTATTACTGATCCTCAGGAGAAAAAAAGGGGGAAAATTCACAATATGTCTAAGAGCTTGCCCTTCATCAACTGCATTGTGGATAGTGGCCTTTTGGATCTTGGTTACACTGGAAGTCCTTTTACCTGGTGTAATGGCTGGGCACCTACTAAGAGGATATGGGCAAGACTGGATAGAGCTCTTGTTAACTCGGAATGGTTACAGAATTTTGCAGATATCTCTATCACACACTTGGTCAGAACTGGCTCTGATCATGCTCCTTTGCTTGTCTCCACTTCTAATCCACAATTGGAGCCTAAAAAGTATTTCAGATTCTTAGATCTTTGGACTGAACAAGAGGGTTTATGCAAGTAGTAGAC